CAGCTGCCCTGTCCAAATAAAAACGCCGCCCAATCTCGGTCGCCGCTCAGCCGCCAGCTGGATGCTGGCGGCGGTGGTGATGGCAGATAGGGCAGAACAGGCCCCCTGACAACCCCCCCCCCATCGACACCTCTACCCCCGACCCTGACGCTGTATGCGGGTGGCCGGCTGCGAAGTTCATGGCTCTGACTGTGGGTCTCGGCCGAGCGAATCGTGCCTTTTCGCCCTTTTCTCGTTGGGCTGGTCCGTTATCCGTCGGTGGATTCTCCACGATCCTAAATGTCCGGTCTCGTGTCTCGAGCCCATTTATATTCTTTGACAAGTTCTATATTCGAAAGCTCATATTTTAGATTATTGTGGCCAGGTTTGAGGATTTCATCTGGCGCGTTTTCCGTGGCATCTGTTTTTGATTCGTATCACGTGTGTCCGGCTCAATATCGGTCCTCGCTGCTCCGCATCGTTTCGTTTTTTTCTCTCAATGTCCTCTCTCTCCTTCTCTTCTGCCCCCTGTCTTCGGTCCTCTCCTCTCGCTGATGTCGCCATACTAACCCGGCTGTTATCTGTACAGTATGCAGTCCGTACCTTCAGTGTGCGACCCGCATCCAACCTGACCCTCTCCGGGTCCTACACCGACAATCAATTTGGGCCCATCTCCTGACTCGCCTCGCCAGCCCAGTCTATGCTGTCTTCTCTACGTCTCGGAACAGTGATTGGTTCTCACAGCGCCATGCTTGTCAGTCAGTTCGTCGGCACTTTTTGCCGACTTTCTCGTCACTCTCGACGTACGGTGCTTCTGGTCGTGCTTGGACGGAGGCGGTGAGGCCCAGATGACCGGCCGATGGCGGCGATAGGCCGCGTCTCGGCGATACTGACGCGCAGGTGACTTATCCAGCGCATTGGACGTCTCTGGCGCACTTGGGTCATGACTTGACTGCCGGCCGGGGGCGATTCGTGGCCCAGCTCGAAACAGGATGCATCCTGGCGTGGTAGGACCGGCGCAGGACAGTAAAGCACGCTACTGGAATGGAACGTTACGGGATCGAGCCAGCAGACTGCGACGTGCTGTGACTGTCACTATAGCTGGGAGGAGACGCCGGGCCGGATGGGCAGGGCGGCAGTCCCCGAGTCCCACTGGGACAGGAACGTGACGTGGCATAACGAGCTGAGGGCCAGGTGCCCGCCCGGGCCGGGCCGGCCCGACGCTCGGCCGTCCCTCATGGTGGCTGAGGGCCGGGCTGGGCTGCTGGCACCGCTGGTCAGAGGCGAATGTGACTTTGACGAGGGACCTGGAGAAGTCCAAAGGCGCCAATATAATGCTCGTAATGAGCCGGGAGCTAATTTGGTGGGTTTGAAACTTAACTTAAAGGGACCCTCCCACCTTCAAAAAAGTTTATGAATTGGCATGAAAGTGATGTCGCTCGGTTCAGAAAGAGCGAAAACGAATGTCTACCGAATTTCACCGAAAAATATTCACTGGTTTTCAAGATATTAGACTTTTACTTTTGTTTACTTTTTGGGATCTCCGCTGTTCCTAGCGACTTTAGTTGAAAGTGCGGCACTTGTTGTGCGGAAAGCAGCGTATACCACCGCGTGCTACAAAATGTTTTAGTCAAACATTTAAAAATCGTTAGATATCTGCGCTGACGTCACACATTCAGAGGGGTATTCCTATGCATTAGCCCCTCTGAATCAAAATGCTGCAATTTTGAAATTCAATATTTCCGATTTAAGGCATTTCTCGATGTTGTGAGTGCAAAACCGGTAATTGTGAGCCAGGGACCCCATTTTGGCTATCTCAACTCAAATCTAATGTTAAGGTGGGAGGGTCCCTTTAAATTTGCCATGGTATAGAGCCGCTAACTACATTCTATATTCGGTTGTTTTGGTGCGCACTTAAATGACGAATGCAAATAAGTTTTTATGCAATCTATAATGTGGATTTTCTCATTTTCGTATTGCTAAATCATCTGTTCCCCGTCTATTCGCTTGTCGAACTGCCCGATCAACTGGCTGAATAATATTGTTGTCAACCGCTTCTGACGTTCTGATAGCGTTAGGCGGAGAGGCTGACTGTCTCCTATCGAATATGGCCGTCCGTCTCAGTCATCGACAGACATTGAGACGGGACAAACTGATGCTTTGTGTCGAAGATATCTATTCTCTGGTTACCGGATGCTGGGCTCCCGGATCCAGTTCGAAGATATCCAGTCCCGCGCCAGCAGTTCAGGGTATCGAGCAGTGGCGCTCGCCCGGCCGGCCGGGTGCCGGTCTATGGGGTCCCGTATCCCTCCATCCCTTCACCTCTCTCCCAGCTGCTCCCTGCCCGTCCGGCAGCGTCTCGGCGCGCCATGAGGCGGCACGTGCCCGCTTGGCGCCGTTTCCGGGAGGCGCGAGCGGCCAACAGTTGGCGCGAGTGTGCGTGGAGCGCCACGCGCCGGCGTCGCCGTCACCGTCGGCAGGTGGCGTCCAGCTCGGGCAGCTGCTGCTGTCCCCCGGGAGGGGAGGGGGAGGCCTCCCGGGCGGCCCGGGCCTGTTTTGTCGACCAGCCGGGCACCGCTTCTGTGGGCTGAGCACACAGCACAGCCCACGCTAAAACTCTTTCCCTCCGTCGCGTTCGCGGCTGATTCGCGCTGCCGCGCTAGGTCGCGTCGGTCTGGAGTCGCCGGTGAGCTCTGCACTGGATGCAGTCTGCAGATGTCGAACGCGATAATTAGGGGTGCGGGTGGCTGGCGGACAATTCTGATTTGGCCTCGGGGAATCGATCGATGACGCCGTGTGCAGCAGGTGGTGGCACTTGTTGGCAGCGCTGATCACAGTAGTGCCATGGGGCGTGGTATGCATGGTGTGATCGGGAGCGTATATTTTCCAAATGCTTAGGATACTTGTTTGGTTGAAACATAAAAGCAAATAATATAAAAATATAACTAATACTGCTGTTATGCATGACGTTTATCCTTACCTTTATAACCTTCTAAAGAGCGCTAAAATACCTACTGGCATTGCCTTGATACTGCCGGGTGCCTTCCGATCACAGTTTATAAAGCTGAAATCACATTGGTCAACGGTCAGCAATAGCGTTTAAGAAGCTTAGCTATGCATGGTGGGGATTTGAACTGCGGTTGCCAGCATATTGAATCTGAACTATGCGATGACTAAAATCGTCCAATAAATTTCTGAAATATGTGATACAGTGCATGACTCTCCGGCCGGCCTTGGTGACTCAGAGTCGGGCTCACTTTCGCGGTGATTTTGGCGCTACCACGTGTGTCCGCGGTCCGGGGGCCTGTCTGGGAAATGGCGTGGTGTGGGAACGGCCGCACGGCCTGGCCTCTGGGCAGGGCCCGGCGAATTCCACCAATCCCACAGGTCCTGTTCGCTGACCCAACTGAGAGGGGTGTGCTGTTGTGACCGCCGCCGCCGCGCCGCCGGTCGCGCGGAGAAGTTATCGGGCCCGTTTTCGCTCGCTGACAGGTCATACGTTTGGGACGACGGTGACACGGGATCCGTCTTACCACGTTTGCATTGGTTGGCCGGCCCCGTCAGCCATCCGGATTCCTGCTTAGGATCCTGGTTCGATGACGTTTTCCTGCTGGAGGTTGTGTACTAACTGACAGTTCTGTCACATTGATGACTGGTGTGTTTTTAGCTATATGTTTATGGTTTGCCATTTTCGTCCTCTTTTGGAAAGGCACATCAATCACCGACAGCACACGACAGATTATATTCCATGTCAGTAAGCCCGACGTTGACACCTGAGAACAAAGCAGATGGACTCTGCTTTTTACACCAGATAAACACCTCAAACAGCCAAACAATGGCTTCACTGTGAGCCGGCCTCGTCGCGGCGTGCCTAAAACTGCGCCGCCGTCCGATTGATTTGCGGCCTGAAGCGGACCTCGCTTGTGTCCGTCTTGTTTGCATTGTGGGCCCGTATCGGCGGCCCGGCAGACTCCGCTGGGAAGGTAGGACTCGGTAGCAGCTGGTCAGCCCGACAGACGTCTCACGGCATACAGTGTCTGAAGTCTGGGCGCCGGCCGGCCGCCGAGCGCACAGAAGCCGAGTGATACACGTGCGATATGATAGACTCGCCGTTTCTCTTGGGGGCGCTCGCTATTACCTTGAGGCGCCCGCCGCTACTCGGGGCGCCAGGTGCGCCCGCCGTTACCTTGGGCGCCCGCTGGTTCTCTGGGCGCCCGCTGGGCGCACGCCAGCCGTCCCTCAGATCGGTCACGGTTTTCTACTGCATGTTGTCGCTGCCAGGCTGGCCTGATGTTGCACCGATGTTAGGTCTGCTAGCAGGATCGTACTTTATAGTTCTGTTTCAGTATGCTGCTGGTGTGTGTCTATTCGGTTCCAGGACCTGTTAGATTTGACGCAGGATTCTCCGGACCAGGTGCTGCCCCAAACGCCACTAAGTACCCCTCTGATGAGACCGACGGGAGCGCCGAGCTCCGTTGCCGATTCGTCTCCCATGTGTCGGTCCTCTCTGCCGCCAGTGAGCCTGTTTGCTGTTTACCCTGGATTTCAGCGGAGCCCCGCGTGACAGCCGCAGGGGGCCACGCGACGCCGCCGCCCCAAAGCCAGGCCGTGTTTTTTTCTCTCCTCTCCTGTCCTCTCTCTCCCCTGACGGATGGAGGCTGGCCCGTCGGGCAGGTACTCCCTGCTTTGTGCGCGTGTCACCCGGCGTCCCGCCAGGCCCCGCACCATCTGCCTCCTCCAGCAGCCGGCCGAGCGCCGTCCTCGCCTGTCACCTGGTGGCGGGGCTAGAAACTACCCCTCGGCGGCGGTGGAGGGTCCGCTACCTCGGAGCTACCGGGGCCTCCTCCAAACTACCTCCGAATTTATTTTGAATATGCAATGTTTCTGAGGTCTTGCATCTACATAGTGTGGTTGGGATGAGTGTCCCACGGGTTAGGGTGGGGGTGGGGTCCTGTCCCCCTACCCCCTGTCCCCCGCGGGTCAGCCGGACGGGGGTCTGACCGAGCGGCCGTCTGTTCCAGGTGGCGCGTCCGGCGCAGGGGGCGGAGCCAGCCGGAGCGGCAGCGACGGGCCGCCGCCAGCCGCCAGTCTGGTCTGTGGCGGCAGCGGCGTGAGTGCGAGTCGAGGGCGCTGCGGTGTGAGTGGCCGAGAGAGCGAGAGAGAGAGAGGGAGGGATAGTCGGTGATCGGAGATCCGGAGGTCCATGTGCCCGTCTGTCGGCTTGTGAGTGCGAGCATCATGGCGTGCCGTCGGGCCGCCCCGGCGCACCCGCTTCTGGCACTGCTGGTGGCAACCGTCTTCGTCGCATCGGTAAGTTCGTCAACATAGTACAACATCGTATAAGCAGTAGCACACATAAGTCATGGATCAAAGACACTATTGCCATCCAACCCCAGCCAACAGCCTTATTAAACGGCGGTTAATATACGAGTAGACTTATGTCTTCGGGTACGCAAAGTGACACTGACTAAGCGTTCATTGTAATTTTATCCTGTAAACTAAATTTTATCCCGAGTTATGTCTAACAGGTAATTAGCGAACATTACCCTCATATGACGGAAAATGGATATGCGCCGAGATAGTGACACGAAACAATCAGCCAAAGTCTGGCGCTGGTTTTTTCTCTGACCGTTTTCCCTGCTTTGTGCTCTTGGAATTAGTATCTCTCTGCACCCCTGCCGTATTCCATACAGTACCGAGGTTTCGTAACTCCACGAGGGACTGATTGCTTTGCCCTGCCGCGTCCGCTCGGCGTTACTCAAGCTCTGTCAGACTTATGTCACGAGTTCATGACACCTTTGCAACTTGGGGCGGTAATTATTCGACGTTTGGATATGAGCGGAAACTTAATTCGCTATTTAACAAAGCGGCGTTCGGTTCAAAATTCAATGCAGCTAGGCCGGGCAAACTGATATGACCAGCACGTGTTCTGAGATGTCTTGCGGCATCACGATAAATAGGCACTATTTTTAACGTAATTATTATTGGTCACCGTTAGGAAAGATATACAGATGTGAAGATGACCACTGGTGGATCTCATAATGTTGTCTTAATTTGCTAATGTAAGTGATCGATAAGCAAGCGAAACCGTTTATTCACATGTTTTGTACTATAAAAACGGTGCAAGTTTTAAATGCATAGCTAATTAGATAATCCTGCATCTACTTCTCACTTACTTAACGTTCGTGGGCAAAAAAAAAGTTCATTTATCTGAACAAGACAACACCAGCTTTCACAAGCATTCATTTAGCCTAGCGTTAATGGAACTTGGGGCGTGTTCATTTGCGCCCGCACGCATTGACTGCGCTCTGTGCGATGAAATTGTCTGACTCGCCGACCCTTGGCGCTCGGGCGCCACTGAAGTGCCCACGACCGGGCCATAGCGGCGTGGCGACCGAGACCCTCGACCTGACGGCCCCTCTCCGTTTGCAGGCGAGCGCAGGCGGCGTATTCGAGCTGAAGCTGCGCAGCTTCGAGAACAAGTTTGGACTGGATGCCATGGACGGCTGTTGCAGCGGCGGCAAAACGTCGCGAGGGATTTGTGTAAATCAGTGTGCCACCAAGTTCCGCGTGTGCCTGATGCACTATCAGCGAGTGATCGACGAGCACCCTTCGTGCACGTTCGGAGAGTTCACCACGCCTGTGCTCGGCGGCAACACCTTCAAGGTGCAGGCCGGCGGCAACGGCTCGTTCGTCAACCCCATCGCCTTCCCGTTCAGCTTCTCGTGGCCGGTAAGTACGCAGTGGGGCTCGGGTGGTTCGCGCCGAGTGGGGTACGGAATGTTACCGACTGATATCACCTTGGGTTGACTGGATCCCAATCTGGCGTCTTTCTCCGGCCTCGCTATTTTCCTGTCGTGTTCTCCCGGCGCGCCGACTCCATGGTGCCACCTTTTCCCCCCACCGCTCCCGGCCGGTTTCAGTGACGGCGTTTACCATTTATGCGGCGGCATTCAGCTCGCTCCCCTCCCGTCCGCTCCCAGTGTCCCCTCTCCCCGGTCGGCCCTCTCCCAGCGGTGTTCCCATCGGCGGCGGCGGCTCGCGAGCCGATAGATCATCGGTGTGGGTCCGTACTTCACACCCGAGCCGCTGGCCGCCGCTAATAATCCAAAACACTGGCGGCCGCCGGTCGCCTCATTAGCTCAGCGCGCTCCCTGTCGGACTTCCGAGCGGCCGGACCACGGACCACGGACCGGCCGACCGGCGGACCGGCCGCCACCGGCACCCGCCGTTCCCACGGACACCGCCGACAAAGACAATGGGAAAAGATGGATTAGCGCCGCTCGCCAGGCCGCATTCCGTTGCAAGCGGGGCGACGGAAAAATGTCCGCTGCAGCCCGGCGCCGGCCGAGGCTGCGCCGCGCGGTCGGCAACAGGCGCGCGACCACGCCCGGTACGGCGCCGGCCGTGCCGCCACGCCGGACTGTGGCAGGTCGGCACCGCGAGGTCACATGACCGCGGGTCGGCCGCCGCTGAGAAGTCACGTGGGGACGTCGGTAGGGCCGGCTCCGTCGTCGCCCTGACAGTGGCGGCGGCGGCCAGTTGCGCCGCCGTTCGGACGGCCGAGGCGTGGGTAAACATAGCGCCCTGCCAAACCGCATGGTGAGTCGCCGGCTCCCCCAGACCCCCTCCACCCCTCCTGGGCGTCCGACCTGACCGTGGCGCGCTCTGAACCGGGCCGCGACCGCCCGCCGCCGTCTGTTGACGGAATATCTACAGAGACCGCCGTCGTCAAAATATTTCAGTCTGCCGCGGCGGCTGCGATGGATCGGCTCGCTGTCCGCCGAACGGCGTGTTTCGTGCGGTTCGCACCGGGACCCTGGGTGGTGCCAGGTGGGGCGGCGCCGTGCGGGGCGCCGTCTGACCTCGGCCTGTCGCGAGAAGTCGCCCCGCCGCCCCGGACCCAGTCACAGCCTCCTCCGCCGGGCTGCAGCGCGACAGACCGCCGGTAGTGGTGCCACTTTAGACCGGCCGCCACTGGCAGCCCGACGGGAGCGTCACGCCTCGAAACAATGGCCCGCCGCCCCCGTCTGCCGGGCGGACTGGGCCGGCGGACTCTCCAGGTGCGACATTAGCGCGCCTTTGCACGTGTGTCGCCGAGGGAGCAGTGTGTCGCTCGGCGGCTCTACAATGCCGACCGCCCCGCCCGGCTACGCTCTGATGGCTATCTGGAGAGACGACAGGGCAGGTCGCGCGGTGGCCGTTTATTTAGACACGCCGTGACGCTCCGCCCGGCGGAAACGAGCCACAGGTGGCGGAAACTGGACTCTCTCGGCCGAAAATGTCCCGGTGAAGTACCGTCTATCCCCATGTCTGCATTGTTTCCCTCTGTGTCATCCAAGTCCCCTCTGGATCCGTCATGGATGCTTGATTGTTGCGCTGTTGCCTCTGTTGCGGTGTCTGTCTGTCTGTGTCGTTCCCAGAAACATGTCTGAGTGTTATTTGCGTTCGTTTCAGGGAACGTTCTCGCTCGTCATTGAAGCCTGGCACGAGAAGGCCGACAGCGACGAAGCAGCGTCGTTCGAAGGTGAGTCGTCTGCGTCGTCTGCGACGCGTCGTGCCGTCGTCGACGGGGCGCGCAGCCGCCGATACACGCCAAACACCTGTCCCCTGCGGGCGTCGTGTATCTCTCATCACTTCCATTACGCTGACACGCGCCGCGGCGGTGCAAACAAATTTACCGTGTGCGCCAGCTCTCCGTCGCTGTGCGCGCACTCGGATCGTTTGTTGACACGTGCGCAGCCCTCTCGTGCCGTCGTGATGAGCTCAACAATGATGTATGCAAACGCAGCGGGCGGGACGGTGGGCCCGCAAATCACTCGCTACAATTACTCCCAATTGAAAGATGACCTGCGGGAGGGTGGAGCCGGACTGAGCGGCGGGCGGAGGCGCGCCCTCCCGGCCCGGGCAGTCCCCGGGCGCGTGCGTGCATCTGTGAGACAGCTGCCCACATCCGGAGCCCGAGGGAGTCTCCCCGTCCCCGGCGCGCGGGCGTCTTCCGTCCCCTCTCCCCCTGCGCCGGGGCATCTGTCCCCTGCGCGCGACCCGTCGGCAGGGGCATTTTAATCGTGGCGACGTCGGGAACACATCTGCGACAAATTTCCGGTGTGTCCCAGACGCCCTAACCGGGCAGGCGGCCGGACGACCTCACCCTCGCTCCCCCGCCGTCCCCGGCGTCCTGTCTCGCGCGGACGAATTTGCGCGGCTCGCCTCGTCGATGCTGTCATCTGTCGGTGCGGTAAAAAGTCGTCCGCGATGTCTCTGCGCCGGTGAGAACCATCCGGGCCGTCCAGCTTCTTCACACGAGTATTTACATACTGGCGGCTTTACCATGCATACCTCGGCATGTAAATGCGCCCGAAGAATGCTGCTTCTTTGCGGTGGCGGCGTAATATGGGAACGTCAGCCGTCGCTGACCGTCGGTCAACGGGACCTGGTGACACTCGGAGCGGCGATGACACATGATGACACCTGTGACAGTGTGACAGTGAGCGGAACATGGCCGGGGAAAGATGAAACACGCAGGCGCACCGTATCTCTGTGAAAGGGACGACCTGTCCAAATCAGACACGGTTGGACACGGTCGATTGTGAGCACTGAGTTCTTGCATACCGTGCAGCGATATCCGCCCGGCTACCAACCCACCTGAGCAGCTGGTGTGCGGCCTTTGTGTGCGGCCGGGCCGGCGGCGCTGCCGAGTTTACCCCTGTCGGCCGCCGGTAAACACTGGCGGGTTCACACGGCGGGCGCCACCACTTTGTATTCGAGTCCGGTCCAGCCTCCGGCCGGCGGCCGCTCCGTTCCCACAGTGGTGTTAGACTCGCCTGGCCGAGCCGCCGCCGCGCGCACCGGACGCCAGCCGCCACCGCGCGTCATCCGACTGTCATCGGCCGCCGTCGGACGCAATCGAGACGTCATCGGTCCGTCTCGATCGGCGTAAATCGTCGGCGCTCTCGGCGACTCGGCGGGAGTCGCTCTAATAACTGTTTGTGTAATGGACAAGTAATTGACGGCGGTGCCGGCCCACTGCATTAATCGGGCCCGGCGGCTGATGGCTGTGTTCGGTCGGCCGGCCGGCTGCTCTCTGAGCGCGGCCCGCGGTCGCTCGCTCTCCCAGGCCGAACCCAGTCGTGCGGCCACGCTGAGCCTCGCTCCCACCATCTATCTTGATGCAACGCCGGATTCCGGCTCGGCTATTGTGTGCAGAGTTTTTCGCGCGGCCGACGGAATGCGGCCGCTCAGCGCGACGTAATGAGTGCTGCTGTCGGGCGACGGAGAAAGGAGACAGCGCGGGCGACAGTGGGGAGGGGCGCTCCGGTTGGTGATCTCAGGATCTGCTCTGCCGCTGCTCGGAGAACAATGCCAGAGCACACGATAGATTACCTCTGCGCTCGGACTTTTTTTCTCAACTTGCGCGCTCGTTTACCGCCTTGTTCTCCCGATACATGTATTCGTTATCTTGCTCGAGACCATTTTCATTCGCTCTCCTAACGTCTTGTCTCTGTCTTTCCAGCTCGCCACACGCTCGTACACCGGGTAACCAAGCAGGGCTGGCTGAACGCTGGCTCGGCGTGGACCCGTGGCGAGGGGCACACGGCGCGACACTCGGTCGAGTTCGAGTTCCGCGTCCAGTGCGACCCATTCTACTACGGCGACTCGTGCAACATCATGTGCAAGGGCTCTCAGAGCAGCGTGTTCGGCCACTACGAGTGCCTGGAAAACGGCACCCGGAAGTGCCTGCCGGGCTGGACCGGCGACTACTGCACTAACGGTGAGTTGAGACCAGAGTTGGCGCTATTTGGGCCCGCCGGGATACGATTTGACACTGATGAGGAATCCTGTGGTATTGATTTGGGCAGCCGGTAGGGTTATTAGGACACAGATGTGCGGTTCATTAAGAAGTCCGGTTGGGATGAGTGCTGGGGCTTGTTTCCGCCGTTCTATCCCACGCGTTCCCCTCCCGTCCCTGCTCCGTCTCGGCCCCCTCCCTCCCTCCCTGGTCCGTCTGGTGACCCTCTGCCAGGCGCCGGGGTGGCGCCGCCCCCGCTACTGTCGGAGGGGACGCCGGCTGGTCGGCAGCGCCCATGCCTGCCTCACCTTGAGGCGTCGCCGGCCAGCTGGCCCATGCCCCACCGTGGGACCGGCTGGCCAAAAGACGGCGCTCCCGGCCGCCAGCCGTCAATGGTGGCGGCCGCCGTTCCGCCGCCCCTCAGCAGCGCCGCGCCGCCCCCGTGTGGACGGTTCAGAGGCGAAATAATGGCCTGAAACGGATCGCGCCCGGCCGTGCCGGCGGCGCTGCTCTGCTGGCGGCGCGGTGCGGCCGGACCGGTCTGGTGCGCGGCGCCGTTTCATAACCCGGCGCGTGGGAACGATGGGGCGCCAGATAGCGCGCTGCCCGCGCCGCGGTCGCACCGTCGTGCACTCAACTGAGTGGCACCTTTCCTCAGCGCGGCGCTGCAGCCCGCGCCGCCACGGCCCCCCGTAATGTGATCTAATGTGCGCTCCCCAACCGGCGGCCACTTAATTGGCTGCCACCGCCCGCCCCGCGTGTGATTATCGGGGCGGTGTTGGGGCGGTGGCGGTGGCGACGGTGGCGGCCCAATTAAAACTGCGCCCAGACGTGCTGTTTTTGTCTGCTCGGCTCGTGAGAACGCGCCGTAGCGCTGACAGCCGACTGTTGTCCGCCGATCTCTGACCGAGTCTGTCTCTTTCTTTCCAGCCAACTGCATGCCGGGATGTCACTCCGAGCACGGCTTCTGCGACCAGCCCAACCAGTGCCAGTAAGTATCTCGTCAGTCTGTCTGTGTGTCCGTCTGTGTGTCACTCAGAGCTTAGCGTTGGCGTTTCTTTGAAAGACGACCGCGCGCGCTATCCAAACTTGCGACAGTAATGGCGCCATAATTCCGACTTGTCATCACATGGCGCGCCCGCGCCGAGAACGCCGCGCCGCGCCACAAAAAGGATCGGAAGCGCCGGTTAGCGGCGTTTCCGGCGCTGTGGTGCGCCGCCGGCGTCGCTGCGCGCCTCGTGACTTGAAGCCGTAAATTAGCCGCGCCGAAACGTCGCCGTAATGGCTTCGGTAGCCGGCGGCCGGGCCGGGCGCGCGGGGAGGGACCGCTGCCGGATTGGGGTCGGGGGTCACGTCGGGTCGCGACCCGTCGCCGGCGCGCTCCTCCCCGCTACCTGGCGCCCGGTAATCGGCCTTTAGAGGCTGGCTGGCAGAAAAACGCCGGCGCCTGCTGAGAGGAGGGCTCTGTAAACACGAGACGGTCCGCCGCCGGCGCTGGCCGGACCCAGCCCGGTCCGGCGGGCGGAGCGGGGCGGCTAATTTAATGGTACGGGTTTGCGGCGCCGGCGGCCGTTCCCTAGAGCTCGTCTGCTCCGAGACGATTGAGTGTTATGATGTAGTGCGGCCACGGATGGTCGTGGAAATGTGGCGAGAATTGGCTCGTTGGTCGGCTGCTAACGAACGGTCGTCTCTCTTTCCCAGGTGCCGGTCTGGATGGAAGGGCAAGTTCTGCGACGTGTGTGAGCGGTACCCAGGCTGCCGCAACGGTACCTGCTCCACTGCCTGGGGCTGCGACTGTCTGGAGGGCTGGGGAGGCCTGTTCTGCGAGCAGGACCTAAACTACTGCACCAACCACCGGCCCTGCAAGAACGGCGGCACCTGCTACAACACCGGCCAGGGCAGCTACACGTGCGAGTGTGCGGCCGGCTTCAACGGCACAGACTGCGAGATCGAGGAGGGCGGCTGCGCGCGGCACCCGTGCCTGAACGGCGGCACGTGCGGCGACACGGGCGACAACTACACGTGCAACTGTCCGCGCGGCTGGACGGGCCACCGCTGTGAGACGGCCGCCGAGACGTGCTCGGATCGGCCGTGTCAGAACGGCGGCACGTGTCAGATGGAGCTGGACCGCTACCAGTGCCGCTGCCCGCGCGGCTTCAAAGGCACCAACTGCGAGCAGCGCGACACGTTCTGTACGCCCGACACGTGCCAGAACGGCGGCAACTGCGTCAACGAGCCCGACGGCTACCGCTGCGTCTGTCCGGTCGGTTTCTCCGGCACCAACTGTGAAGACAACGTGGACGACTGCGCCGTCAACCCGTGTCGCAACGGCGGCACGTGCTACGACGAGGTGAACGCGTTCCGCTGCATCTGCATCCCTGGCTTCATGGGCTCGGTATGTCAGATCAACATCGACGACTGCCTGACGAACCCGTGCGCCAATGGAGGCACGTGCCATGACCACGTCAACTCGTTCATGTGCACGTGCCGGCCGGGTTTCACCGGTCCCGATTGCAGCGTGAACGTGGACGAATGCGCCGGACAGATGTGCCAGAATGGAGGCACGTGCGTGGATCGGGTGGGCGACTTCGAGTGCCGCTGTCGCGAGGGCTACGTCGGCGAGCTGTGCCAGTTCGAGGGGGTCGTCCCCGAGTGGGCGCAGCGCCGACTCGGCCTCGAGGGCTCGCTCGGACAGGCGCCCGTCGAGGCCGACATGCCCGACGAGCACGTGGTACTCATCTCGACATTGTCCGTGTCGGTGCCGGCGCTCGTGCTGGTCTCGATCGCCGCCATCCTGTGCATGAAATACCGGCGGCGACGGGCCGCCGAGAAAGCGGACGACGAGGCACGCCGACAGAACGCCGAGAACGCCTCGGCAGGCAAGCGCCAGTTCGAGGAGAACATGATCGTGAACGCGCTCGACTATCCCTCGTCCAAAGTGAAAAACATTGAGGACCCGCCGTACTCTCTTGAGCCGGCCAAGTCCCAGAAGCAGCTGAACATTGACCCGGCGCGTCGGGCGCCTGCAGTGAACAGTGCTTCAGCGAGCTCCGCCTACGATAAGGTCGACTTTGAGACGGCGTGCAGGACGTCACCCGCTCTCAAAGTGTGCGTCGACGGCGGCGGACCGTCGACGTTTTCCGACGCGTCGTGCGCGCGCGCCGCGCCCAACCGGACTGGGGTGTATGTTATCGACGAGCACGGTGCCGACTCGTCGTTGGCGGAGGGCATGTACGCGACGGAGGTATAGCCCGGGCGCGCCAGCGCTACCCGGGCGCCGCCGCCAACAGTGTACCTGCCAGCCCTGCAGTCCGTACCAAAGGTTAGATGTGCTAATTTATTCCGGAGTTTTTATATTGTGATGGCCGGCCGGCGGCCGGCGGGGCGGGGGAGGGTTGTGTCCGGGACGAGGACCTGGACTGATCTCGGGTGCTGCAGTTCGCTGGGACTGCCGGTGCGGGCGGCGCCCCTCTGAGGAGGCGGGACCGCCGCCGCGCCCGGCAGGACCCAGCGGGCGTCTGAACTAAGTCACCGTGAAAGCAGGATAGACACATTCTCTGATGTAGACACCCGGACATTCTCTGGTTTTGGCATTTTCTGTCGTATTGACTGCGGTGTTGATTGTGCCGGACCGCCGCGCACAGAGCTTTTCCCAGTGACACAAGTATTGTTACATGCCACCCATGTATCGCCGTGTGTTCATCTGCGATCTTTCAAACTGAGGCTTGTTTCTTGTTAAGCTTTTTACCACGATCGCGGTTTGGTGGTATGTATGTCGTGTATCAATGAGTATTTATGTGTACAGATATGTGTATTGTGTAGTTATCGATTCTGATATGATAATAAATGCAATTTGTACCATTAACATTATTTTTACTTTTGGGGAAACGTTTTTGAGAGGGGAGCACCCTCACCACCGACCCAACACTCGTGAGAGAACGGAAGGAAGCTCTCTGATTCCTACCCACAAAACAGCGACCACTTTTTGCCACTACACACACGCATCTGTCCCACTGTTTAGCCAACAATTTGAGGACGCCGGCGGCGCGGCGCCACCCTCGCGAAATAAACACCGTGAGAAAATCACGGCCACGGCGATGCGGAGCTTCCGTTCTAATTCCCTTTTCTTACCGAAATCCGGTCTTTTTATGCCGGTGCGGCGGCGCCGTGCGAAAGGCCTGGGAAAGCCGGGCCGGGGTGCGCTGCGGCCGCGCCGGGCTTTGTTTTGTCCGTGACTGGCTCTGTCGTTCCCGTGGGATCGCCGGCCGGCTGCTGCAGCCTGCAACAGGCTGCAGCGTGCCGCCCCGCCGGCCGGCCGGCCGCCAACCTCGCGGGGTCCGGTCGGAGGCGGGGCTGTCGGTCTCACAGGGACCGCCGACCGGCAGACTGACGACTTTGGGTCCGGTAAGTGCAAGTGGTAGGGCTGCTAGACTCAGTGACAGTGTCTGACGTCCAGTTAGAGGCTGGCCCACAAAAATCAGCGCTCAGCCTCTCTTTTTTTAAGACCAGCCTTCTCGGTGGTCTGGGCCGGTCGGTCGGTGGCAGGCCGGCCGGCGCAGGAGCGGAGACTGCAACGCTGCCGGTGGTGCTAGCGGCCTGCCGCATGGCCAGCACTCGCACACAGGAGAAGCGACAAGACGGAAAAAAATGAAAGCTGACGCTTTTACTCGTATATTAAGCTGACTGCGTTCAACCGTAATATCTGTGCACATGTTATATTTTATGTTGCACTAGCAATCACATACCTACATTTGACAGAAACTAGCGATTGCGAATGCTAAAATAGCGACAAAAAGGGAGAACGATCGTCATAAACTCAAAGGTAAAGCAAGCATGATCACTGACCGTGACTCTAGCCTGAACAAGCCGGCGGCGACGCTCGTGCTGTGGTTGTCACCAGCGTGACCTGTGACCCCGAGACGCGTGTCCGGTCACCTTTGACCCCGCACGGCGGCGGGCGCGGCGATCATGGCTCGGTCACGGAGCGGCGCCACGGGCACGCGGCTCGTGGTGTTCAAACTGCGCCATGTGAGTGAGGGCACGGAGCTGAAACTGGGAGCATTTATCTCACCGACAAAATGTTTACGAACGGGAAAAGTCTCCTTTATATTTTAAGTGGGAAAACGGTATATCTCTATTCGAAAGTGAAGGACGGTCAAAATAAATCAGCTTGATAAATGAATAACTTCTAAATCGATAGGAATTGAAACGCAGCTATACCACGAGGCATGATCCCAGTCCCCATCGAGCGACTGTTGGATTCAGCGCCGCTATGATCCCTATCAGATAGGTATCATATCGGCGCTGAATCCCGTGTCTCATGATTCCCATGAATCCGTTGCGATCCCGGATCTGGATCCGCCGGCCCGGACTCGAGGACCCAGGCTCGTCTTTGAGCCCGTCGTGCCGGTATGTCTGCGGACAAAAGCCGTCCACTCGAAGACCCTCGTCTTCCGGTGCACAATACGGCAAACAGTGCAGAGAGTGCTCGGTCTGAACGGGTTACCGATGGAGTGCCCCGCCCTAATGGAGGCCTCCTTTGGCTCAGTCTCCTTCCGTGCTCTTCAGCTACCTCTCCTTCAGTAAGACGGAAAAAATGCCGATGAATGAAATTCTTCTATCTGGAGCTTCTCCGTCCAACCTCCATCCGTCTCAGACATCCATATTCAGCGGGCGGTGTGGCGGGCCGTGTCTTTGAGCCGCAGTTCGTCGGTGGTTCTGTAGTAGAAGAAACCCTATAGGGCGCGGTACGGGCCCGCTGTCGGCCGCCGAGACGCCGGCGACGCGACGACGACCGGCTGGCCCGACTTCCGGCGCCGACGAGGGGTGGGTGCCCCGGCGGGGCAGGGGCACCACCAGACGGCGACCGGGGCAGGTGGCATCGTAACCCTACCACCCGCCCCTCCAGCAATGTGGCGGCGTAAAAATGCGCCCTGCGGAGGAGCGTGCGCCGGCACAGGAGCGCCCCGAGTCGCGACCCCTTCCGGCGCCCCGGGCAAGCGGCAATTAGGGACGACTCGTGTTCAAACGATTTAACCGCCGCGCCCAAGACAACGTATTTATAGCTTATTTATAGCTGAGTCAGGCAGCAGAACTTAGTTTTTGTAGCATTACTGGTGCTGGGGGACTGCTGTGTCGTTCACGATCGTCCCTGTTAGTAATAACATCAGCTTCCGTATGGGCCGTATAAGAGAGAGAGAGAGAGAGAGAGAGAGAGAGAGAGAGAGAGAGAGAGAGAGAGAGAGAGAGAGAGAGAGAGAGAGAGAGAGAGAGAGAGAGAGAGGGAGAGAGAGAGAGAGATAAAAAAATCGAATAGGCCGCCAGCCCGATTGGCATACAGCTTGCTATGCATGTATTAATGTCAATAAAAATTGCTCTATCCTCGGTATTTGCGCTCGTTTCATCTCTGCGGGTAATCCAGTTTTTTTTTATATGTCCGCGTGCATCTAGCTACCGCCCTCTTCGCCCCCGTTCGTTATGGCGGGGGCGGGTGGTGACGTCACACCGGGACTTGGATCATAACCGAGTGAAAGGGTGGCTATTTTCTATTCTCACGTTAATTAGTGTGTGGCTGCGGTGGCGACGAACGGCGCACCACATGCGATAGTGGCGTGATAGGCGGTCAGGGACCGAGTCGCTCCCGTTCTGTCCTATTTGGTCCTTACAACTGTCATCAGATTCAGATGTCCGTCTGTGTTTTGTGTTCTGTCCTGTCGTGAGCCGTCTGCTCAGACTGTCCTATTTTGCTGGACTATTGGGACCATGGGAAATAACTGGATATCGACGTCAGCTAGCTACTGAAAGGGTAAAACAAGCGGTCCTGTGCGGTCCTGGACTGTAAGAGGCACCTCCAATAGACATCAACGAAGTTTTAAAAATATAATTGTGATCACAAGCACTAATAAATGAGATGGTGGCCCTTTTTAAGTTATAGGTATTGGAGTCTTGGGCCTTCGCGATGTTCTAATGTTCCGTCTTTGGACGATGGATGATGGACGATATGACGATAGTCGACAATGAGTGGACGGTGGACAGCGAGCGCTCCACGTGTTGGGTACAGTGGACAGTGGACACCCCACTCTGGTGGAACGGCAGCCCACCTCGATGGCACCCAGCTATAGAGTCGGCGCGGCCAAGATGGTATCGGTCTGTAAAAAGACGGGCAAAAACAGCAGCGACCTGGGATTGACGCATCGCCGCGCCTGTCCGGTTGACACTGGGACCGTTCCCACAGCGCAGGCCGACCGACGGTGGTCTCCGGGGCATGGATACACGTCGGAGACGGGGGGAGACTGGAGAGAGACCGGAGGTGAGTCGAGGAGACAGCATGGCCCGACGGTGGTCTAAGGGGCGGTGCGGAGACGGGGAGACAGGGCAGAGACGAGGGGACAGGGTCGACTTCGCGGGCATACAGGGGTGACAGGAACAGCCGGGGTGACCTCACAAGACCTCAGGTGACGAAGACCTAAGATGACATTAGGGTTATGAGCCAGAGTGCAGGGAGATATGAGGGTTCTGTGGATTGGACGGGACGTGGGAGTCGGGACAGGAGACAGGAGTTACAACAAATTTCTGTACAAAACAAAGAAAGTAATTGTGAAGTAAAACATGACATACTTGGCAAATCAAAATGGTTAATAAACATCCTTTACCAAGTACCAACTTGTTACATGTCATCGATATAGGTTACATAACTGGCACGAACACGAGCTTACGGCGCACTGTGTCCATCTCACACTTCCTCCACTGGCTCCGATCGGACCGGAGGCGGCGGGCGGCGGGCGGCGGTGACGTGTTTACCTGTATCCGAGCCGGCCGAGGCGGCGCGACACGGTGCCACTTTCCTGTGAGAGTGGACAGCGTGTGGCGTGACCGGCCGCCGGGCGGGGCTGTTCCCAGGGCTGGGCTCTCGCGCACCGAGCAGCATCGTTAGCACCCCCCCCCCAGTCCCCCCTCCTCCGCGGACCGGGGTGGCCGCCGGAAGCACGGACACTCAGGAGACGGGTGGACACTGGACGGCGGCGGACACTCGGACACGGACACGGACACTCAGCGGCACCGATGGGTGGCGGGCGACTCACGCCGCCGGAGAATTCACACGGTAACGGGTCGATCGGCCCAGCTGCGGCTGCCCCTGGTCGGGGAATCTGAGGGACGAGAATCAACATACATTTTTCCTAAAAGTATATATGTATAAATGAAACGTACCTATGTATTTTATTTATATAATGCAAATACTAAATGTTTCTGTGCTATTTTTGCGTTGTCTGCCTTACGTTTCCTTTTGGTCGTTACGCCAACACCAGGACGCGCCGCCTTTCATGAGTTCCTGGATGCGCCCATGCAGCCCACGGCGGTGTGTGACCCGGGGTGGGGTCAGTCGAGCGGCCCGCCTCAGTGACCTCAGTAGCTGTGCGTGCGCTGTAGGGACCGGAGACGGGACGTGATTCGAGGCGATGAGAGTGCGATGAGAAATGCATGGACGTGGCAAGTGAATCGTGTCGCGAACGACGACGTAGGAACCACCGAGTGACCGGATAAGTCTGGAATACTTGCAAGGAGTTACTGCACCGACCTGTTCAAGTAAGTCCGAGTCCCAGTACATACTCCGTCGTTTTTCTCACAGACAATGACAATAGGTACAAAAACAATGTAATAAGACCAGACGTTTCGACAACAAAGTGCCTTCGTCAGTGGAAAAACAAGATATAGGCCCCCCCCTGTGGTTTTTCCTGAATAGCAAGAAAACGGCGGCGCGCAGCGCCGCCAAATTTTCAGTACCTTCCCGGGCATCAATTTGACACCTTCACACCAAATTTCAAGTCTTAGGTCACCTTAGGTCAGGAGTTATTGAGGTCAAACTGA